GTGCGTTGATGTAGCTACTGTTGGACATGATAGACGGTGATTGATATTGCTATTGGGGTGTATTTACGGGGGTCTGAAGCAGCTGTGAGTAGATGAGGAAAGATTGATCTTGGGCTGAATATTCGGCAATGACCGTTGGCCTTCGATCGCTCTAATACATCTGCTTGGGACTCGGCAGACCAGTCAGTCACGTTACGCAAGTTACTCCAACACATACACACCCTTACTATTCACAAATTGCATCTTTCGGTTTCCATCACAATGCACAATAAAAGCATTGTCAGCATCAGTATCCATAGTAATGCGGTAACACGCAGCAATCATCTCGCGCATAGCAAGTACATTGGCGATTCCATCTTCATCGTGATAAACTGGAGGTGGAAATCTTCCTAGAAAACCTTCTTCGTTGAGAACTCTGCTGCCCACGTTAGTGCGCATGTCAAGTTCTTTCTCAGCATGACAGAGTCCATGCATGAGCTCACCATTTCAAATGGTGGTGTTTGTACAACCACTGTCCATGATGACATGATCGTACCACCCAAATGGATCTCTTTCCTTTCTGCGGCTTTGAATAAAGTGCAGACCTCGATCTGCTTCAGTAACAAGATCAGTCAAATCTTCATCTTCACTAGCATAGTGCCAGTTGGCTTGAAGTTCGACATTTGTTGTACCAGCAGGACATGGAATAAGATAGACATCATTGCCATTCTCATCCTTTCCCTTGATAGCATCGTGAAAGACATTTGACGTATCAAAATATCCAGTTTTCACAGCTTGCGGAGTTTGAGCTTGAGTTGCATCGAATCTTTGGCGCACTTGAGCACCACTGAAGCCTTGTCGGCTGAGTTGCATTCCACTGAACGCAATCTCACCGTTAGCATTCATAGAATAAGGGACAGTAACAGTGCCGCCACCTTGAGTTGGAATCTGTATGAGCTGCATTCCAGAAGGAACTTGCATCATTTGATTACCTGTAGTACCAGCAAGTCGCAAAGGTGTGTTAACGCTTCCCGCAACACTTGATGCTCCACTTGTGGACGCTGAAGCTCCAGGAACTATAGCTGGAACAGTAGCTGGGACAGTTGCTCCAATCTGATTAAGATTGAGCTTCTTCCCATAATCAACATATTGATCCTGATTCTTCCATTGGATCTTTGGTAACAGTCTGTCTGGGCATTTTGGAGACATATGGTCTTCGTTGCCACATACATAACATGCTGCCTTCTCTCCATCCTTTGGTTTCCCTTTTCCCTTTCCTTTACCTTTACCTTTACCTTTATTAGGTTGGTCCTTTCCTTGGTAGAGGTTCACTCCCGGATTTTTAATCACATCCATGTGAATCTTCAACATATCTTGTGCTTTGCTGACCGTCTTTGGATAATAATCCACTTCTCTGCAATAGTTTGTCTGAAGATCCAGCATCAGAGGAGCTGTTCTTGTTTGATCGCAGTTGCACAGAAATCCTGTTGCAAGAACGGCTTCAAAGATATCATCCTTGAACTTGTTTCGAGCAGCAGTATTGGTGCTAGCAATAGCAGCATACGCTTTCGTCTTGACTGTAAAACTTTGGAACCAGGCCATGCCATATAGATCTTGCAGGACTTTGGCCTGTCTCAAAAATTGTTCCTTGAAATGCATCAAGTTTTTGGTTGTTCCTTGCTTCATAGCAAAGAACTTTTGATTTGCTTCCCAGAAATCCAAGAAATCATATTCAGCATCAGCACTCTTCTTCATGAATCGTTCAATACGTTTCAAGAGTTCAATCGGATCTTCAAGAGTAGTCGTGAAATCGGCTTCAACTCGAAGCTTGATATCCATCGCCTTCATCAGAAACTTCAGCATGATGTTTGATTTGACGGTTCTCTTGTTTGTCTCAAAGTAGGCTGATCTTCGCATGTTCTTGTCGAGCTTTGCAGAATAGAGAATCTTGTTTTGGGCCATCTCTGTTTCTCTTGCAACAGCTTCAGTTTGAGTTGGAGCGTTCAATCTTGGAGTAATTGCATTGAAGTCAATCGACTTTCCATCTCAAATTGATTTCACCATGTCTTCGGAACATTTCATTCCAGAAGCTTGGATATAGTCAATCACTATTTCTTTGGCATCTTTGTCAATGATCTTGCCTTTCCATTGTTTTCATCTTTTGTTGAAAATAGATGATTCACAACTGTTGAACTCGAATTGCTCTTGACTTTCTGAGGAGTCACACGTCCTCTTCCACCACCGGATGAAGAACATCCCATGTCAACAAATCACTCACTCCATCACAATCTCCTCTAACCCATTCAGTGGCTGAGTTGTCACTTGGCATACATCATCTGGGAGTGGCTTGGTCCAAAAAGGAACCGATGGCGAGAGGGCTTCGGCCACGTCAAGGTCTGTCATTGGTCTTATAATCCCAGACGTCCTGTGAGATGCCGGCCTCATGTGGAATCGCCGGCTAGAGGAGTAGGAACCTAATCGGTGACCGTAGTGTCTCCAAGCGTGTCCATGACAATGAAAGACGCCATGCGTTAGGGTTGGGGAAACCAGCCAATTCCAGTTGTCAATAGAGTCAAACAAAGGGCCCAACGGTTGGCGAAGATGGTGAGAGGGGTCATCCAACTGCAGGAGTGCCCGGGTCAAGGTGTCCTGCCATAGACGCCAGTGATTCCGGTTTGGTCAAACTGTCCGGGGCCATTGATATGGGGACCGGTGAATTCCATCACGCTCTCCGCGCCAAGCCGACTGGCGGATGCATCGTCCATCAGCCGTGACAATGTCGGAAACGGTGCACGCTTGAAGGAACATACGACACCAATTGAGCCATTTCAGATCGTCTTGGTTCACCTCCAAATCCATAAACACTTCCACAAGCAGAGCATCACCGACGCATTGTAGTGGTAAGGCCGGAGAATCAAAGGCCACATAGATGTCCATGTTCTCCAGTTCTTTCCAGACTCGCTTTATCCATGTATCGGAAGCCAAGACGGCAGTGTTGCAATAATCCTGCTGAAAGATACCAAACGAAGTGCCCGTTTCGAGCTGGTGTTCTTGCAAAGCGGCTTCCAGGTAGGCTCCGGTTTTTGTCCTGTTGGTCGAATGACGGAGGAGAGTTTCGATATGCTTGGAAACCTGTGAGCCAAACGGATGTGGGATGCCCAGGCCTTGGAACTTCAATGGAGCCAACACCATATCACGCGGAAAACTTCTGCAGATGCCGGCTTTTGGCAGGCAGACCTGTAGAACCGGGCTCATAATATCCACCCATGTTGCGGCCTCCAGTGTCAATAGTGTCATTAGATATTCTAGTGACTTCATAACAGACAAGCCCGGAATCTGAAGCCGCAACAACTGATTCTTCCTCCTGAATGTCCATTGTCCCTTCCTGCCATCCCAAGCAAAGTCGATCAACCACCAAAAGGACTTCTCCGGATTGATCGCTCCACCCGTAGCACTAATTCCTCCAGCCCACATGGACGCAGCCGCCTGGACCGATTGGCAGATGTCCTCGCCGGAGTGATCGACCGATGCCCCCGCCTCAATAACGTCTGTGTCGTCCACAAAACAGAAGCACTGGGCTATGACCAAGTGGGAGTCGATCGCCGTGAGACACTCAAAGCCAAAACCCATTGCCACCATCATCTGAATAATAATAGAGCTGACCAAGACCCAGATGGGGGGACCAGCCCCGTTGCCTTGTCCGCACCCTTGGAAAGGAATCATGGACGGTGGTCAAAAGCTTGCTTTGGAATCTCCAAAGCCGGTTTGCACTCGATGTGTGGATGTTGCCAATGTGTCAAACATCATCCAAAGCGCATTCCACGTCATGACCAACCGCATCATGGCAACCACTGCCACCCAGTGAACTACCTGATCAAAGCATGACTTGGCATCATTCGAAATCCACCCTGCCGATTGACGCTGGAGAATCAGTAGGTCCCACACCAGCCGCTTCGACAGGGCGAGATCAATTGCTTGATGGTGCTTGCGGGACCCGCATTGACCATCAGCAATCAGGTGATGGTCTTCGCCATAAGTCATGGCCAAATGACCGAGTTGCTTATAATTGGCCTGGGATTCAGAGTTCATCAACTGAATTGTTCGCATTTTCTTCAGGCGAAACTCCCCGGGCTTCTTTTCAATGGCAAAATTCATTAAATGTCGCCAGTTGTCAGGAACAAACCCAGTATTTAGAGGGATATGCCGAAACAAGGCGTCACACTGGGCGATCATAGGGGAGAGAATCCCAGCTTTAAAGTGGCCATTATGCAGGCCATGAGGTTCGGAGCCCTATTTTCCGGATTCCGAGACCAGAAGTAGGTGTGATCTTCAGTAGAAATCTCCAGAGGTAACATAGAATGATTTCTGTGGAACCTGCACTGAGAAAGGAAGGACCGAGTTGGATAGTCCATGCCATCTGGTAGAGGAAGGCGCCCTTCAAGAAGGGCGAGGGAGTTTTGTTCCGCATCATGGCCATTAAACATTTGGTACAATGGAGCATCCATTGGAGGGGTCATATGAGGCGATCTGGTCTGATCATACCGTGCGCAATTCTCCTGCATGCACCCCTGTTCCACTTGACTCCTTTCAGAGACAGTCCCCAAGTCCACTTCACCTGACGGCAGCCTCTCTTCGACTTGGATCGCGTGTAATCCCCCAGTAGATCCTTTTGCCTGGGCGCGGCGTCGGCGTCTCGCCTCCTCCCGTTGCTTCATCTGCCGTAACCTCAGGAAACGGTCTCTGGCCTTTTGCGACCGCCATTGTTTCTTTTTGGACTTCGCCGCCTGCACCGTCAAAAAGTCCTTGCGCCACTTTGCAGCATAATGGGTCTTAGCCTCAAGGTAGTCCTTCCGGTCCTGACGGAGGGCGGCCTCCAATTCCGTTGTTGTCTTTGTCCATGCGTCCGGTATCCCAACCTTCTTCATCAATCTGCGGATTTTACGCAAACTCACCCGGCAACCCTTCCTCCCCTTCAAAAGAATCTTCCACAAGGATTGACGATCCCAAAACTGTTGCATCTTAGTAGACCAGGGCACTAATCCATTAGTGACCCGTCTACATTTGTCCTCCGCCTTTCGCCTTACGACGTACATCTGATGGTGCAGGCAGTTATAATGACGACCCATTGTTGCTGTCATGGTCCCTTCATTTAGTTGTAGTTGGTGATCTGGGGACGCCAAGCGAGATGGGATGGAGTATTCCTCGTAGCCCTTGTGAACGAGTTGCAGGTAGCGGCGGACAGCTGTAGTATCCAACATAGTAAGTTTGCGGGGTTTGTACGGGGTCTTCTGTGGTTTGTACCCACCCAAAGATTTCTCCAGGTCAATATCATTCCAAAGACCACGATGGTCGCAGGAGAAAAACCCATCGGAGTTGTAGTAGCCTCCTGCCTGTACAGTCACCCCAGAGGTTGTGAAAATGCCGTCGATCGGTTTGCCCCTTTTGTTCCGGTGCTGAGTGGCGGCCGTTTGACCGGGGTGTTGTTGGAGGATAGCTTCTTCCATACCAACATCGCGAAGACGTTGGCAAAAAGAAGAGGACTTAGTGGAGCTGATGTCCTCATTGGCGTCAACCCCCAAAATTACTTCACATCCTTCATCGCGCCATTGGGTGATGGCTCAAAGAAGGTCCACCATAAAGGCCTCCCTTGGTTCACGCTGTCGACCTTGGGAGCGAAAGAAACTCCGGTGTTGTGCCCACACGGTAGACTTGTCGGTCCCCGGAGGGTTAGGTTGGTACGCAGCCACCACAACCAAATCCCTAGAAAACCTACTCCTTGAAGCGTCGGAAGCTTCGCAAACTTGATTGTCTGATGTTAGCATTGCAAACTTCTTGCCTTGAATGCGTACATATGCCCACCTGCCCAATTTAGTTGGGTCCCGACCAAAAGATTTTGCACGGTGGGCAACTGAGTTCAAGATAGTTGCCACACATCCACCGTGCTGCAAGCACGAGGCCATGGGACGAGCTTGGTTCTCATTGTGCGCAGCGACCAAATAGTATCCCTTAGATGTTACTTGTTGCATCCTATCGTTCCAGTGTTGACCTTCCGGAAGGGAAGGCCAGTGTGTGTTGGTCTCCGCCAACAACGCAATCCCCATTCGTTCTTCTTTCAACCACTGGTTAATCTGTTGTTGTTTCCATCCGGTCGCTGAGGCTGGAATGCCATTGACGTTCTGAAAGACAAGGCGAGTCGACGACTGTAGAAAGAGAACTTAGAAATTCCTCAACTGGTGCATGGGGAACAATCGTCGAGGGGCCACTCGTTCTTGATCGTCTGCCTGCTCGCCATGACCTAGCGGCAGACGATCAAGGGCCTCTCATTGCCCTGCCGTGGAGCGGGAAGCTCCACGGCCGGCCAATGATGTCTTCTTACCCTTCTTGCCCTTAACCGGGACGGAGGGAGGAGACTGGTGAGGGTGGCGGAAGATGGGGAAGACCAACGGGATAGATGCATTGGATTGGCTCCCCAAACCTTGCGTGTCAGTCAAGGACGGAGTGATAGACTCTGCAGTGGAACAACCGTCCCGCTTGGGAGGACGTGCTGTAGGTGCCGTCCTCGGGGCTTGGTCCGGAGTCACTGACTCGACAAAGGATTTGGGGCGAGTGGCAGCACTCTGAGGTGGTAACATTGTCTTGGGCCCAGGTGCCGGAGAAGGAGATCCCGGCAGTGGGGAGGTGAGGGGACCTGGATTGTTGGATCGTGCCGGGGTGGACGGTGAGTGTGACTGTTCTGGGAGAGGAATATCCTCCTCCGTAGGCGACTTGTTGGAAGGCCCACTGTTGTCAAGCTGAGTAGGCTGATCCGTGCGGCTTGCTGATGGCTGTTGGAGTAAGCGCATTGCGGCAAGTTCGTGCGCCAACTGTTCAGATCGTAATCATTCGGCCTCCAAAGCAGAATTCTGTTTGGACAAGAGATTGTCCTTGAATTCAATCTCCGTGATAGCAGCCTCCAGTTGACTATCCTTTTCCAGCAACTCATCCATGGCACCAGCGACCGTAGCTCCGTCGTCAATATCTTTAGCGTCTGCCATATCCATATCAAATTCCAACTTTGCTTCACCGACATCCAGAGGATCAGAGCCAAACCCATCCAAAAAGTCGATAGCTTTGTCAATGCCCTGTTGAGTTTGGTCGGCTGGTCGTGCCCGTAGAGTCTCCAAGCACCACACAAGTTCCTTGCGGCGTGTTGTGTGGATGAGAGACTTAGGGAACCATTTGCCCAGAACTCTGTTGGATCGAGTAGTCGTTGATTCCCCCAAATGATGAGTGAAGAACGGAACCAGTCCTTTCAAAACGTTTGTTGCCAAGGCTGCGTACTTCAACCGGCTGATGAAGAGATAAGTCCCTTCCATTTTGCCAGGTAGAACCATGATGAACAGCGGGCTTGGGACATTATTCTCCAGGTCCATTTTTCGCTTCCTTTCCGACTCTCGGGCCCGGCGCTGTTGCGCTGGTGTCAGAACAGGGCCCTTGTTCTCAAGAGACAGATTCTTGGAAGTTTTTGGGACCTTCTTCTTTATCTTCATCTTCCCTTTGGTCGACACTTTTGTAAACTCGGAATCGGTGTCCACATCGGCAGCAGCAACTTTATCAGCGTGCAATGGCCGTGCCTTGACCGAGAGGAACATGGACAAACAGGTGCGAGGGCCAAAATCTTTTGTGGTCGCCTGTTTAAGCATTCCTGGGATCTTGACTGGGCAGTACTTGGCCTGAGTAAGTTCAACAAAATCGTTGTGCTTCGAAATAATGGTCAGCTTCTCATCCTTCACTGGACCAACGGCCTTAACACTGACTATCCCATTTTGAGCTGCCTTCCAATCGCTGATGTAGTGGGTGACGACACACCACGGAAAATCTTTCTTTGGAGTCAAGGGGTGGAGCCACAGGCGTAATGCCCGGTCCACCCGCTTGGCGTGTCTTGCTCTCACGTAGACATGCCACATCATGCACCCTGGTGCTCTTTCGTTCCACTTGCTACATCCGTTGTAAGGGATGTTAACCCATTCGTACCGTAGTCCAATGACAATATCCCAACCGAAATGACGCATCAGTTCTTTCTTGATGGCCTTAATGTTAATCTCCTGAGAGTAAAAACATTTTTGAAAGAACAACGAATGATTCACTCCAAGACAAGTCAAGGCTGCGATGGAAGCGAGAAGTGCAATGCACATACTCAATGCTCCAAGCACCAAAAGTCTGAAGTATGCAATCCGATCTGGTCTCATCAAGAACTGTCCTATCACCAAAGAAGCGATCAATCATGCCAAAGCAATCTTTGGACCTGACGCCTCTACATTGAAAGGCAAGTCAACAAGACCAACTCCAAAGAAGACGTACGACGACTTCTTCAGTCCACCAGAGGAACTATATCAGCACAATCGATCTATTACCGTCTGCATTGATCACATGGAGATCAAGAATGCTAAGTTTCTCACCTGCATTGATACCACTGTGCGTTATTGCTCATGCATTCCCGTGCAGAACCTGAAGACTGACCCTGTATTTGAAGCATTGGATAAGATATTCCGCCGCTACAACAAGGCAGGCTTTCAAGTCAAGACAATCAAGTGTGATTGGGCGTTCATTCCTCTCACGGATGATTTGCTAGACAATATGGGTGTTACTATTGACCCGACTGCAGCTGGAGACCACAAACCTACCGCTGAGCGAAACAATAGGACGCTGAAAGAAAGAGTCAGAGTAGCTCTTGCACGATTACCCTACAAAGTGGTCCCAAAAGTGATCACTGAATGTCTTGAACGTCAAGCCGCCGAGCTATTGAATGTCTTTCCCCAGAAAGACAGTATCTCATCACATTTCAGTCCACAGCAACTCATTGATAATGTCAATATGTCAATATCAACTACAAGAGTGACATGGTTGCTGAACTCGGACAGTATGTTCATGCAATTGGGACGGATTCCAGCAATTTGATGGAACCCCAAAGTATCGAAGCAATTTACATTGAACCTACAAAGGGACAACTTACTGGGCACCGAGTGCTCAACCTCAATACTAAAAAGATGATTTCCCGACCCAAGGTCGTTGTACTACCCGTTACCGATCAAGTAATCCAGCGTGTTGAAGCTTGGGCTGCTGTTGAAGGTGTTACTTCCATGAAGTTCTTCAATAAGAAGAGAGATTTGGAGACATTTCAAGATGGTGATCAAATCGCAGGAGTGGATGACACGGAACAAGGTTACTTAGAAGAAGCCTTTGATCAGGACTATGAACCTGAAGATGAAGATGAACGTGATTTCAATCTACGTGGACAATTTGATGATATTGATGACTCCGAAAGAGAAGAGCTCTTGGCAGATGCAGACAATGATGTTGATGATATGCCGGAACTCACTGTCAGATTCCAAGGAGATGATGACTATGAATCAGACGACGATTCGGGTGATGAAGGCG